TCTCAGCATCCCTGTGGGTTCCTTCACTTGAAGGCAGAAGTTGGAAATGTGGAATGGGACGCCAAATGGGGACCTGAACCAAAAAACACATCTCCTTGTTGGTGTCCCTTTATCCAAATTAACGATTGTGGGCTAGTTAGCACCAAGAAATTCCAGGAAAGTCTAGCCCCTGAAACTACCCTCCTTCAGTGTGTTAAGAAATCTGATCAAGCAAGAAACAACTCAAGTCAACCCTCTAGCTTGGCCAGCGAGTGAATCTCCTGTAGTCTCGGAACTGAAAAGCATAGTGTGTTCAGCCATGGCCTGTCTACCAGTCATACGGTGGGCGGGCAGCTGAACGCTCGACAAATCTGATCAGAAATCTATGTTTATCCCGATTGCTGTGAAAGACTCGCTCTTTCAGCGCGCAGGAGGAATCCCCGATTCCGGTGGTGATTCGAAAGCCCAAGCTCATGTTGCACAGACACTCGGCGTCCCTCGGCATTGGCGAAACGTTGCGCAAACAGTGACGCGATGCGACACGGTTGCGTCCAGTTGAATTGTGTTATGGTCCCTTTCCTGTTGGCGTTGAAGGGAAGCAGGGTTTTTGCTTGGAGCATCGGACTTGAATTTTACATGGAATCTATCTATCACTGGACGTTCCCCAAAGAGGATTCTTCCAAGGGAAACAGGGAAAGCCACGAAGCCCGGTTTGTAAACACACCGCTTTGGAACCGGTCGGCTCCAGCCCAGGCCTGAAGTAGCGGAGGAGGGTAGACTCGGCTCGAAGAAGCTTCCTGGCAACTTGGTCTCGCGATCGGCAACCCCCCGAGGTGTGTGTTGTCTTTTTTTGAGGCCTCGACAGAAAGGTGGTTTTCTGTTGGTGTTCCTTTAAACCCACAAAAGTTGGGCACCCCCAAGTGGTGGTTGTTTGGTTTCTGGTTCTTGTAGATGAATGTGAAACCACCCCGGAACAATACCAAAGAAATACTGGTAGTTGGTGGTGCATTTTGAAGGGCCTCCCAATTACAGGTCAAATCATACTCTCCCACCTTCCAAGAACAACATCAAAATTACAGCTATTCAATACCAGGTTGTTTCTTCGGCTATATGGTGTTTGTGGTTATGTTCTGTGTCTTTTTGTCCGCGGGGTACGAACCTAGGGTGTGGGAAGTTGAATGCCAGGTTTTGCCATGGTCGCTCAGTGGATTTCACTCTCGACTGCAGCCCTTGTGTTACCCGCTCAAGATGGCATCAGCCCGAACAAAAGCAGCCGCGCGTTGCCTTTTTGGCAACCCGTTGCTGTTGTCTGGAATCGTCAAATCTGCCCTCACATCCAGAAAGCTTTTGGTTACGCTGCTGCCGAAATCAGAGGGTGCCTCTGTCAGGGAACAAGCGTGAGGTTTCCCAACCTGCACTGTCCCCGTGACCTCCTGGCCACACGTCAGAAGAACACTTGCCAAAGCCAAGGATGAATCAACGTTGACTGAAGATGGCCCCGTGTTTCACAGGAATGAAACTGAGTTGCACGATAGATGCCTCAGAGATCAGCACTTCATGTTGGGAGGACTTGCGAATCAAATGGATAGAGTCTGCAAGGATGAGATTCGAGAGGGTCAGCGCAAGCCCAGTTGCAAATGCAAGGGGGCTCTCAACATAATTACCCGTGGAAATTAGAAAGTGTATCCAACCATCCTGACGCAAAACCGTTAATGCCAGCGTGCAAAGAGTGGCAAGAGTAAGACAACAAACAAGAGCCAAGTTGAATTTGAGGCGCACGGGAGAAGGACACTTTGACGGGAAGAACAAGCTCTGCCACAACTAAGACCTAGCTTTACAAGTTGTTGATGAGTTAATGCTTGGAACAAAGTAACCAATCAATGAAAGTAGACAACTGCAGGTTCAACATTGAAACCAATAAGAGTGATTTGTGGCAAAGCAGGTTAAATTTGGACAAGTAAAAGTTCATTTCGGAATTAAACATGTTAGTATGTCATTGGGCAACAAACAGCACTTGAGTCTCAATCGACTTTAGAGAACATAGGACTTACATTTGGTGAGAAAGTAAGAGGACCATTTTGATAAAATGAGACTGAACATTATAGGAACAAAAAGAAGAGTTAACATAGGCAAACATAAGAGTAACACGATAGAGACAATACGAGCAGCATGTAAATCAAACAAGGGTAAACTTAAGGGAGCAGTTTTTTTTCCAAACTAGTTGGAGCATTTAAAGACAATAAAGAGAAATGTTTAGAGCAAACAAGAGCACACATGTTCAGAAGGGCATTAAGAGAAACACAGAGTAACATTTGAATAACATAAAGGCAACATGAAGGTGTAACGAGACCCCCCTCAAACCTTGCTAGAGCAAATCTTAAACACTGGCCACTTGAGTTGCCAACCGCTCAACCCTTTTGGCTGTGTCTTTTTCCCTGGCGGTTGGTTTTAAACGGAATCCAAAAGGAGAACCACAATTTCGGGGGGTCCTTTCAAAAAAAGGAGAAACCAATTGTTTTTCTTCACGGTTTTAGTCCCGACACACGTCGCTTTGATTTTGATGCCTTACCTGTGGATTGGTCGACTGCTGGACGACGGCTTGAGTGAACTCCACCCAAAAGCCGCAAGCCGGCTGGTTTCCTGCAAGTAAACATGTAACAATGTGAGAGATCCCATGGAAAATTGAGCTAAAGCCCCGTAAGAAGGCGACAAAAACCTGGACGCCCCAGAAGCCAATCATTTTTTCTGCCTTTGACCCATAAAACAAAGGGTACAAAGGCAGAAAAAAAGGGTACAAAGCCGCTTGGGGGTGGCAGATAACACGAAGCCATGATCGCACCTGTTAATTTTGGAGATGGCTCGTGTCCCAGACCTGATATATACCCCCCTCCACATCCCCCAACATTTGGAAGTTGAAACTGGAATTGGGAAAGCGCACCCCCAGCCCCTCCCCTTTACTCAGTTGTTCAGTGGCACCAATTCTTTCCTCTTTTTTTTGGCGGCTGCCCCACTAAAAATGGTCTTCCCCAAAAAGGGTTCCCTTTTTTCCAGGGTCACTGAACAACTGAGTTTATGCACAGAACGGAAATCATGTACGGTGGGGCTTAAAGAAGCTTGGCCAAAGACTCGTGGATTCCAATGCAGGCGGTCCACCTTGTTCGCCCCTCAGGGCCTGTTTGTAGGGGACCCCCAAAATGGTGGTCTTCGTTTCGGTTTCCGGTGAAAACCAAAAACGGGTACCCTCCTTTTAAAAAAGAGCTCCCAATTAAAACCAAAAACGGCCCTTTGGATAAGCTCACGGAGGCATTGAGCCCATGACGAAGACGAACAGCGGGAGGAGCACGAATCACCGAATCCTCAGCCGGCTGCGGAATCAGAGACCCTGCTGGCGGCGGAGTGTTGCTAGGAGCCTTTGCCTTAACTGGACTTTCCACGGAGAGTCGATGGTCATACTTTCCCTTGTTGGCTTTAAAACCACTACTGGAAGTATATGTTTGTTCCAGGGGCTGAAGCAAATTGAAGATATAGTTGAAAGGTGAGTTCCCCTTGGTAGGGATGCGATGCGGTTCAAGCTGCTAAGCTGACTTTCCCTTGGTAGGGCTGATGCCTAGAGGTGAAATACAGGAAGCCCCGTAGCAATTGTGTCATTCTTGGAAACCGTTTTGTTCCCAGGGCTCAACCACGTGTCCCTGTAAGGACCCCAGAAGTGTACCGCTTGTATTCCGAATATTCATAGACATACGTGGGGGATCTGGCAGTGTAGCCCTTAGATGGGGCTCCAGTAAAAGGATACATCCAACAGCCACATTTTCAGCTAAGTGACTGGCCAGTGTCTCTTTTGGGGACCCTGTTAGAGACAGATTGGAATGAGTCCAGCTCACAGATACTTGGGATGGCTTTCGAAAGAAAGAGGACACCAACCACAAGGAGCCCGATTGGACACAAACTTATAGGTCTGTTTTTTGTGGGTAAGCTTTGGGCGGGTCCCCCAAAAAGACGCAGCCTTACTTAGGCCTTAAAAGATACATTTTGCCAATTTGCAACATGTTTTTTCCACCAAAATAAAGGGAAACCACCATTTACAAGGCAATGTTCAGGTGTATAATGCATCCGGATCCCTGTTACTTATGTTGATGTAAGGTCTTGTGGAATTCGACTCTTGGGCCGAATTCCGGAGTTGGACAGCAGGGGGAAGATGCGGAAGCGAGTCCCCGCTTTGGTTTTGGCAGAAAAGCTGAGGTTTGACAGTGCGCCTAACGGATACGTGGCCATGTTAAATGCCGTATTGGACATCTATTTAAGAACAGTTGCCAACTGAATTTGGAGGAGTAACTTGTGAAAGCTGTGATTTTGGCAGCAGGGCTCCCCCCACACCAAAAAGACCCGCTTCGCAGACGGCCTCGAGGCTTGTGTCGGATGGGAGCGACGCAGAGTCGTCGGCTTCAGCATCTCGGATTCATGATTCGGCACGGCCCCGCTGCCGGCTTGTGCAAATGTTCATTTGCTTAACTTGGTGGCTCCCAGTCCAGTTCCTTAGCTTGTTAGATCTGTTTAGTTGGGGGTTGGGTTTCCGCATTGAATCCACTAAACAAAATAGCAGGGGATCTGAGGACAGCCCGGCTAAGAATATGATTGATTGTCCCCTGGTTGTACAAGGGGCATCGGTGGAAATACTGGACATGTTCGTTTTTGCAGTGAACTCAGCAGGTAAGCAGGTGAAGGCTAACGTGGTTGAAGTGTGCGTGTTCTCAAACCTTCTTTGGGTGTGTGTTCCCCGTCAGCCACCATGATAGAAAGCAATGTCAGGATGTATTCCTAAATGGACCCAGCTTGCTGTTCAGATGGTTTTTTGGGCGCTAACCTATTCAAATCCATACTGTTGACCAAAGCAGAAGAAGATCCCTGGCTGATTGTAAGTTAATATGCCACAGGTCATCCTTCACTTTGGGAGTCACACTCACCTATCCGCCAATTTGATCGCAACTTGTTTGCAGAACTCACTGAGACCCAAATTCTGCGTCAGGTTCGGGCGCTATGACAAGTGGTTTCCCCTTGCTCCGCTGGAAAAGCGGAGGGGTAGGCAACATCTAGAGTGACGCATCCCCGGTCCCTCAAAAATGGAATTGGGGGAGGGGGGGATTTCGACCCCTGGAACTCCATTTAATCCCTTTTCCCTTTTATGGAAGTCTAAATAAATGGAATTGGGGGCTTTTCCCCCACCCCCCTTCCCCTCAAATTAGGGGAGATGAACACGCGCTCGCACGAAACTTTGTTCGTCTCCGACGAGGGCACTCCTGGCGCCACGTCGGACGAGTACTTCATGTGCCACGAGAATTCATCGAGCACGTCTGCTGGTCACTGGTCCGGATCGATCGCCAGCGAAGTTCGTGTGCCGGGTAGTTCGCCTTTTGGGCTTGGTTCGAAGGGATGGCTTGGATCCATGAGTCTTATTTCGAGTTTCATTGTAGACATTGCGGATTCCTTGATCTGGTTGGGAAAATCTGACGTTGCGTCGGATTTCAAGGGCGTTTATGGGGGAGCAGGTTGCAAGAAATCAAACACACGGGCTTGACTGGTTGTTTCCCTTGACAGGATCCTCTTGCTTTGCCAATGAGGCAACCCCTAGACACAGAGAGATGCCCCCTTTGGCAACAAGCTTAATTCCAGAAACACGTGCAGAAAGGCCCCAAGGATCCAAGCGATCCCCGCAAGACCTTAGCCTTGGAATCTCAGTTTGGCTTGAAGTAAAAAGCTGATCAAGACCAAGCGCAAACTTTTTGGGGGAGCGAGCGGGGTTGACATGTCTAGTCTCCGGGAAGACCTAGGCCGGTTCCTTCTTCATTCACACCGGCCAAGTCAAAGGCGAGGGGCTGCAACCTGCAAATTCACAGGGCAGCCTTGGCCCCAAACCTCAAAAACGGCTGCTCCTGTCAAAAAAGAAAATGGGCCAAGCCCACAAAAATATGCACGGCATAACATGCATTTTGCAGAAACTGGCAAGGTTGCTTTGCCGCGCCGCACGTGGCCCAGAGATAGCGCAAGGCGCGAACATGGCCACAAGCGAAACAGAGCCACCGTGAAACTCGTCGCAAGCCGGTCTGCCAGACTGCGCTATTTGGCACAAGCTACCGATGGCCTTGAACCAGCTCCATGAAGTACACCGCAGAAGCGCCGCCAGGAGCTTCCACTGGCGGCCGGTGGCTGAGCTGCTCCGGGCGAAGACCAGCGTCCGCCAGGACGGCCAAAAGGGCCGACAGCCCTTGCTTGAAGTCAACGACGAAGACAGTGCCATGCGTCAGGCTCCCAAAGAAGGCCAAGGAAGCGCCCCAGCATCCAGAATCCTCGGCTCGAAAAACGCGATCCTTCGCAACCGCAATGAGCAGCGCGAACAGCAATCCAGCTGATCAAAAGATAGACCTTGCCTGCACGAAGGACACGGACGAGGGCGTTTGAGCAGCAAGCCAAAAGAGCACTGGGAAGTTCATCGTCATCAAGCCACCGGCGGGGAGTAGCTAGAAGCCCCAACCGTGGCTCAGCTGCACCTTTGGTGACTCTGGTGTAGGTGTTTTAGGTGCTTTGCTGGCCCGTTCCGCTCACGGCTCACTAGCGTTACTCTTGGCCGTCTCACTGAGCTCAATGAGCTTGGGCCCAGACACTGATTAGGGGGCAGAGGTTGGGGGCAAGCCACGCAGCTGCGACCGTTGGATCGCATGTGGCGTTAGCTTTGAGAGCCAGGCGGTTGAGATGGGTGTGTCATTTTTTCCGACCCCCCCCATAGGTGGTGGTTCTTTTACTGTTTCTCTCGAAGCCACTAAGGGCGTACCGAGCCTCAAGAAAAGACGAGCCAGCCATGTGTATTCGAGATTTGCTTGCATTTGCTTACAGGCTTCATTACTTTTCCTTGGGCTTAGGCTGGGCTCATGACTGGTATGCCGAGCTGAAGAGACTCGATCTATTTGCGAAAAGACTTAAGGGGACGTGGTATGCTTCCCCGAAACCGGTCAACCCCAAAAAGAAATGTCGATGGGACATTGGGGTGCGTGTTTTGTGGCTTTCCTCCAAGCTTTTTGGCTGGGTGCTAAGTATCCGAGAAAAGGAAACATGTTTGTTGTTTTTCCAGACATGGCTCCTAGCCAGCCAGCTGGGTTCCATGTGCATGTGGGTATGTAATCCCCCTCTTTTGAAAGCCTTGGCCCAGGCCGCGACGAGAGCGGCGTGAGCGATGGCCCACTCTCGCCGGCATCTCGGAAGGCCAGTCGGCAGCCCCTTGGCTCAACAGTCTGAGCTCTCAGCGAATCGGTCAATAAAGCAACTGGGTTCCATGGAAGCATGGGTCAGAAGCTGCGAAATCATTTTGGGACTTTGGGGCACTGTTTAGTCCGCAAGGCTAGTTAATCCGAGGTCAAACTGTACAGGGTAGTCAGTCTTATTTCTCCAGTCCCGTGTTTTTGTTTTTTCTTGGGTCAATGGAGCGCAGGCAGTGGGGATAGAATATTCATCTCACTTGTTTCTTAACCACAGTTCAGTATGTTCAACTCTTATTCTCAAGTGCCTTTTGGACACAGGGTGTTTGGATGTAATCAAAGAAATCAGGTTATGAATCGCACGCCAACAACAAAAAACGCAAGGTTGACGCATGTCATAGGCCCCCAAACCCTGAGCGGAAGAAACCCAAGGAACCCCGACAACGCTCGGATTTCCCGACCTGCGCTGAGAACAGTTGGAGAACCTGATGACATTTTGGGATGGATACTGTGCATGGACAAAATCCTGCACCCACTTTGAAACCATGGAAGGCCATTGTTCGTTGGTACTTACAGGGAAATCAGCATTCCAGGGTTGCTTAGGCGGTGCGAAGTGGATTTCGCCCATCCACAGTATGCTGGGTTTCCTGCTTGCTCGAAGGCAGCGGGTGATCAAGAAATGGTTCGAGACCTTCGACTCGGATCAGAACGGTCGTGTTGACCTGGAGGAGCGCGCTCGTCGCTCAAACTTGTGCAGGGCTCCTTAAAAAGATGCATTCTGCGCAATTGAAACATGGCTTTGTCAACACCAAAATAAAGGGAAACCGCCATGTACAAGGCAATGTTCAGGTGTATAATGCATCCGGATCCCTGTTGTGGGCCCCGTATGGACTGGGCACCATCACTTCCATTTGCTTAAGAATACCCTCCCTTCCACTAACATGGCACCTGACAGGGGGATAAATTCTCCAACAGGACATTGGATGTTCCAGGCACCCATTGCACAGTTGCTACGTTAGTGGGAGGAAGGGTATGTGTTGTTTTCCCTCGTTGGTTTTAAAAGGAACTTTTTCACTACTGGAAAAGGGAAGAACAAAGTCACCCTGTTCAGTGGTAGGTTAAAGGGAAGCCACCAACCATTCTTTGACTTTGATGACAGAGACAGTCAACTAATAGCCCTAGTTATACCTTTGGCAAGAAGTGGGTGTGTCTCAAAATAGGAATCGGCACTGCAAAGGGGTTTTCCTTTTGGTTTCCCTTGAAATCAACCTGAAAAGAGATGGTAACTCCCCAAAAAATGGCAGCTAGGAGCAACCCAGAAACAACCCGAGTACCAACCTACACAAGACTACAAACAACTCCACTTTCTCACTACAAATGGGTCACCCAGGCCAACCTTGAAAACACAAGTTCAGCCCGGGTCGCCCACTTCAAGCTCGCAACATCAAGGACCTGATGAACAAATTGACTTCCAAAAATGTGTGGTTTCCAGTAAAGCTTCCTTTGAAGCCAAACCCAAAGCCAGTAGTTGATCACCCTCAAAAGACAGTCCCGTTCCTTTGTTTTCTTTTGACATACCGTCCAGGCCAAAGCCACTCAATCAGTTTTCTGAGAGGTGAGGGTTTGGGATTTGCACCCAAGGGAGATATCGGCAGCGCAACGGTTCTTGGGGTTACCTTCCAAATCGAATTGCATTCAGAGGAATGTGGGTAAAAGAGGGCACTGTGGCTCTGTGAGTTTTAAAGGTTGGGCCCCAAACAATCCCAAGAGGTCCCGCCATAGTTTTCCGGGCTCGAGCACCCACCCCAAACCGACCGATCGGACACTGAGCTGACTGTTCACTCCGTCAAGGCATTCACATGCCAGGGTTCATGTGGTGCCGTCATTATTGTTTTTGACCTCTTGCGGGGGGGTCCTCAGCTTTGAGACGAACTCAGACATTTCGCCCTTGGCTGCCCCAAGCGAAGTAGCATGGCCCTATGTAGCTCACCACCTTGGACACATCTGACGGTCCCATGTGGGCGCCCTGGAGGGCTGGAACCCGTGGGTGGGGATGCTCCTTTTGGGGTTGCTGGTCCAAGACCCAAGTAAAAGAAAGCACCAAGCACCACTGGCCACGCCTGGCCGTTGTACCATGACCGTGCCCCTGTGAGCACCATGACTGGTGGCTGGCATCCTCGGGGTCCAAGGTGATGTGTTCTTTGCCGTCTTAGTGGTTGACGGCAGCAAAATCCCCCTGCTTGAAAGCCTGTGCCCACCCTGTGGTCCTCCATTTGCTTAAGAATGTGTATTAGTTGCCCTTGTTGTTGGTTTTAAAAGAAATTTATCACTACTGGACATATCTTTGTCTTTTGTCCAGTCTTAACCAAATGGGAGTGCTTGAAGGCCCGTGCCCGCCCTGTGGTTGTCCCTGCCACAAATCCAGCCACAGGAGTTCAAGACCGTCACCTCGCACCTCTGTGCCACCATGCTTTGGGACGAGCACCAGTCCAGCTTGTTGCTCCAGGAGATCGACACCAACGGCGACCACCTGGTGGATTTGCAGGACCTCACAACATCCTCCATTTGGTTAAGAATATGTTCCCTGTTGGTTTTAAAGGGAATCTATCATTACTGGAAATATGTTTATTTTTTCCAGGGGGCTAAGCAAACGGAGGACATCCAAGCCCCCCCCGGTAAAAAGGCGTCCCGAGCCCTCCTTTTGCAATTCGCAGACCTGGACATTCCAGCGGACAAGGATTTCCTACTGTGGATGGACAACATCCATTTCGCACCACCTAAGAAACCAATCCCTCATTTCTGGTTTGCTGAAAATGCAGCTTTACCATCCTGCCAGGAGAATTCGGTTTGTTTTTTTTCCCAGAAGCGACGGATCCCGTCTTAAATGCGACCATGGCTTCTCATTTGTTTCACTACAGGGCTTCGCGCCTCGGGTGCCGCGAAAGTCGCGCCCATGCTCTGCTTGCACTCTTGAAGCTGCAGGCTATGTCCTGATACCCACGAGCTAGACTTTTTGTTGTGCTGGCATCAAACGTGGGGTGGTCCCGGGGTGGTTTTAAAGGGAAGCCAAAAGGAAAACAAGTCCCCTATTGTAAGTCAACCCCATGTCGACGTTCTTTGGGCCACCTGGCTCCAGGAATTCGCTGAGTGGCTGACCAACGTGAACGCCACCATCACCGTGGGCCTCGACGGCTGGCTGGAGGCCTACGACATCGCGGACACCGTCAGGCGGGCTGCAGGAGCTCCAGGGTGCCGTTTGGGCTGAGGTGAGCTCCGCCGGCCCAGGCATCTTTCCAGTTGCTTGAGAATATGTCTTTGATGTTCCCTTCTTGGTTTTGAAAGGAACTCAGCACTACTGGCAATATTTGTTCTTTCTTGGGAGGGGGATCGTTTAATGCCAACTCTAAGCACCAAAGAACGCATCTGCGATTTCCATGGTGTCTGGGTCATGGGGCACATATATATATATCTATATAAAAAGGTTTTTGGGCCGCGGGAAAAGCTTGGGACTTTTGCCTCTTTGATATGAAGCCTTCCAGTGAAGCTCTAGCGGTCCTATCCTTTGCCCCTTTCTTTTTGGAAGGCCGTTAAAATTCACCAACTACGTGTTTTGCGGAGGGGTTTCCTTCTGAAATGAATGACACTGCCCTCCCCCATCTCAAGCAAATCAAGTTCACACATGGGTGCCTATCTTTGTTGATTTTCTGGACCTTGGGGTGGAGGTGCGCTTTCCCAGGACAAGCGAATTCAGAGAGACCTCCTTGCTGAAAAATCGTCCTTCTCTGTTTGTGTTGTTTCTTTCAACAGTCTTGTCCGTCTTGTTTGGTTCCAAAGCTGGCTTCGAAAAGGCTTTGCTCAAGGCATTGTGGAGAGTCCCGTTCGCACTAGAAAGACACCTGGAAAGCACACACACACACACACTCCTTGAATAATTACATGAGCCTTTTTTCATTCAATCATGCACGGCACACTACCCTTGTTGGCCAGGAATCGTCAATCGGGTCCAAAACTAAGACCTTATGACGACCTTTTTCCCTTGGAATGCATTGCCACATCTTTATATATATATATATATAATGAGGAAGACAAAAAACCGGGAGAAGCTGCTGAGGCCTTTGTACGAGTGCTTCGACCCCGCGGGCACCGGCATCTCCAAGGATCAATTCCTGAGGACCTACCGGATCATCGCCAACTCCACCAAGCACCTCGATGCCTTGTAGCGTTTTTTTTCCCCCCCGCGAAGGCGGCAGGTGAGTCATGCAACTAGGTTTTGTACTTTGGGGCTATTTGGTTAGATCTTTGGACTTTAACTTTTGTATGGTGTTGTACTTTGTGGCGAATTATGTGGTTGGATCTTTGGACTGAACAGCTTGTTTAGTTGAAGCAGCTGGGATTTTCCATTAAACTGTTTGCGGCGGGGTCCACAGCACCCAGGGATTCAAGCCATTCGTGTCGCCGGCTCGCGAGGATCGAGATCTACAATTCCCAGAAGGGCAGTTTTATGTTGACCTTTCAGTTGACAAAGTACAAGTGACATGCATTTGCTGAAATCCGCATTTTTATGTTTTTTTCCAACTTATTGGTTGCAAAGTTGGAATCAATGTCACGACTGGACATATTTTATGTTTCTTCTCCAGTTGGCTGTGACCTAAAATGGCGGGCCTCTAAAAATGGTTGGTACCCAAGTCACCAATTTTAGGACACCCCTCGACATTGTAGCCATTTTTCTCAGGTAGTTCAATATGATTGATTCGGACTCGCAGCTTCTCGCAGTTTACCTCAGCGGCCCAAAAGCAAATGCCACTCGCTCGCCGTCAATTGCTTTGTCAAAGCTATGGTGATGAGGGCGGGTGTTCACGGCCCCACAGAGGAAAAGCGCCGTCAAAGAAGGGTGCCATTCACTTTCACCCTGAAGATTTCAGCCAGGCCCATGGAGCCCTGGAACTGTCCCGAACTGTCCGGAACCCTCTAAATTTCCGCTGCCCCAAACCATCCCATTATCCAGCCTATCTGGGCCGGGGATGGGTTGAAGGGTTGAGCTATTCCCAGCCCTTTGAGCCGAAATCAAGGCCAAGACCAAGACAGATCCTTTAGCTGCGCTTTGTTGCATTTTGCTTGGATGTTAGGACTTTAACTTTTTGCCAACGAATGGGTTTTCTATTGAACCACTAAAAGTTCGTCACTTTTCGCAGGGCTTCGCAGATTTCGCCACCGAGTCGCCAGGCATGCGCCGATCCCAGACCAAGACAAGGCAGACATTTGGATCCGGGGGGCAGAGGAGGAGTACGAAGCCCTCGATGCGAGACACGTCGCTCGATTCGAAATCGCTATGCCGAACCCCTGGCTCGGTTTTGCTGGGCCCAGTTTGGGGATTTTTCATCCGCAAACTGATACCTTGTGGGGCTTAAAGAGTCACTTTGAGAACCCTTGCAAAACAAGAGCCTTCATGGGCATGTCACGGATAGCCCGGCGGGCCAACAAGTTGTTGACCCATCTTTTCGGGATGAGAAGCTGAGCATGGTGGTACAGTACTCAACCTGCGCAAAATGGGAGGCGTAGCCAGACACACCTCCGGCAGTTCGGGTTAACTACTAAGTTGGAGTCCCTTTCTTTGTGGCTACTTGGTGACGGATCTTTGGACAGAACAACTTGTTGGTTGAAACTGCTGGGATTTTCCGACTGGGACCGACAAGAAGTCTTGGTCGGTTAAAAAACAAAACAACTGTTCTTAGCAAGGTGTCTTGTTTTCTTTTGGTTGTCGGGTTCTGTTCATGTTTCGGTTTGGGCTGCAAAAAAGTCAGTCAGCAATTTGCCGGGCATAGCAAGTTGCTTGTGAAGATCCCTCGAGCCGCTTCCCCATGGCCGCGGGCTTCGTCCATGGCCCAGGATGTGAACATCGACTTCGAGGACTTTGTACGATGGCAGGCATTGGAAGCGGAGCGTTTTCCTTTCTTTTTTTGTGTTGCTTGGTTTTTTGGCCGCCCGTGGTTTCTCAGGGAGCCCTGAATTGGTGGTTTGGATTGGTGGTTTGGATTCACATTTGAAGCCCTGGTTCTTGTGGACGGTGCATGGGAAGCCCCAAACCAACTAGAGGGAAGCGGAGTTTCCGCAGAGGCTGCCAGCTTTTAGACCGTTGCAGTGGTGAACGAACCGTTCGGACTGTTTCCCAGTTGTTCAGTGCACTCTTTTTCCTTTTTTTTTTTGGGGGGGGTGGCTGCTCCACTAAAACTGGTCTTCCCCAAAAAGGGTTCCCTGTTTTTCCGGGGTCACTGAACAACTGAGGTTTTGTTGGCCACTCAGGAAGTGAGGATAAGTCTCCTGGGGTGGTGTGTAAGGAGAAAATATGGAGAGCCCTTCTGCGGAGGGGCGAAATCTATTTCGCACCACCGTTCAGAAACCCCGGGTTCGGATTCGATACCATATGGTTTCAACCACCACTTTGATTTTTCAATCGCTAGGTTCGTTGGAGCCCCATGCAGAATCAAGCGGCGCGTTAGGGGCCCGAAACGGGGTTTGGTGGCCTTTGACTGGTCGGGTTACACCCACCTGCTTCAAGGCGACTCACAGCTCACACAGGTCTTTGGCCAACTTTTGCTGGGGAACAATGGATTCCACCCAAACGGTTTGGGCCCCTTGGTCGCGAACGGAGGGCTTCAGCCTGGGAAGCAAACAGCGGCCCTTACAAGACTTGAAAACTCCAGGCGCAGGTTCCGTCCCAAAGTGTTCCGCGAATCCCCTTTGCGGACATTCATAGTGTGTCGAGGTGTACGTCAGTGTGCATTTGTTCTTTTTGGGGGCCCCTTCTGTCAATTGGCAGACTCAAGCGTTCGTGGCTGTGTGGAAGAAACGGGAAAGAAAACCCGAGATAATTTCCAATCCTGGGGTCTCCTTCAATGGAGCGAACATGAAAATAACGAGCCCAAAGAGAAGCTACTTGCGGATTCTCCTTCGGCGATCCTACAAATTGCCGAAGAAACCACAAACACATGAATCGCAGTCGCCTAAAAGAGGAATTGTGCCTATAGCAAATCACCCTCCAAGAACCAGCTTAGAACCTTGGGGGTTCCTGGAAGGCCATTAGAACCCGAGGGGTTTTGTAAGGAGCATGGTCTTCCAGCTTGTCAGGTCCCATCAAGTCTCAGCGACTCGGAAACCTGTCCATTCCGCGCTGAAAACTCGGTCCATTGGTGTCCTTTTTGGTTGGTTTGCTTGAAAAATATAAGGCCCTGGTTTACCTGGTGGTTCAATCATCTACCAGGGCCATCTATTTTTTAAAAGGACACCTATGACTTGGTCGAGTCGCGTCGCGTCGCGCTTGAAGTCGGAAGGCCGAGCTGCTGAAGAGCTCGGCGACCCCGAACTCGCTGATCCCGGAGAAGGTGGAGCAACTCGCTGAGGTCCTGAAGGCGAGTTTGGAATCGAGTCCAGAGTGACTGCTAGGTCTCCCAGTAGTGCCCTTTTACCCTTTTCTGGGCGAGGGTTCCCCTACTACAATTGCAACAGGTTGCAACAGGTTTGGATCTCAGTTTCAGACAGAAACAAAACAGCCCGAAACAGCCCGAAACAGCCCGATGTGCTGAAAGGTGTGCGCCAACCACAAATTCAACAAAGACCGATCCCCCCATTACGGGCCGCCAAGTGCTTAAGCTTGCTGATTCGATAGGCAAGGACCCGAGAAAAGCAGCATGCCCGACTTGGCTTCCCAGGGAATCTCCTTCTCATGGTGGCTGGGGGAGAGTGAGGAACGGAGGGGAGGGGGAGGGAGCCCAAATAAGCCCTAAATAAGGCCTTAAGGGCTTAAGGGCTTACATGGGCTCCCTCCCCTCTCCTCCCCCCCAGCCATGACATGACCTTCGGTTCATTCCAAAAGGCCGGTAGGTCACCGAACCGCGGCAAGCTCGGTTCTTTTGGGGAACCGTGTCTTTTGGGGAAGAAAACGACGGTTACGTTTCCGAGTTCGTCCACCATTCCATAGATGAGTCATTATGTGGATGGATGTTTTTGGGAGGCTGAAGAATTGGTCAAGGAGCCACAGGAAGAAAGGGGAAGAAGGCCACAGAACCATCCAACAACTATTGGTTTGGGAAAAGTTCCGGTAGAATTTCCTGCCGGGGCCCGGAATGGAGGATTGCACTGCTCCCAGGGAAGTGGGCAATCATCTTCGGAATCAAGGGTTTTGGGAATGAATATAGGTTTCAGCCAAATGCCTGTCATCTAATTAGTGACGCGCATGAACCCTTAAGGGAAACAAGTTGGATAGTCCTTTTGTGGTCTGGTGAACCTTTGACGTGCTAGTTCTCACATGTTCTCACTTTAAGGAATCACCTCGGGTTGGCTGCTATTTGTTTGGATCTTTGACCCGGCATTTTCTTGGGGGGATGCGTGTTCCCCACTGACCAACATATCAAACTTGTCCATGTGCTTTCGGATATGTTTTTTTCCCCTGTTGGTTTCAGGGAACCTACGGCTACCTGGAGTCTCCATGACCCTTAAGAAATGGGGTCATGACCACTTTATGTTGGATAATGATCCCTTTTTTAAAAGGGTCATGAGAGACTCCAGGTACTGGGTTTTCGTTGTTTCTCCAGGGAGCGCATTCGTTGGAGTGTGTTTATTCTCTTGATACCTGTGTTTGTTTTTGCCCACCTGGAATAGTGTTGTTTGATCCTTGCTTGTTTTACCCCAGCATTCGCAGATGGAAGGCTGCACCATGGGCTGTTTGTTTCAGGTGATCCTCGACATCGACACGGGCGCCAGGGGCCGGGGTCTCCCCGCCGCGCTGCAGGAATCCGTGCAGAAGGCCGGGCTCGCTGGTGGGCTTGCCGCTTCTTCTTCTTCTTCTTTTTTTTTGGGGGGGGGGCGGGGCGGGGTTGTGTTTTTTTTTGGGCAACCCCGGCGGGATTGAATTGGTGGCTTGGATTGGTGGCTTCGGAGTTCGAACCCTTGGTGCTGTAGAGGGCACCTGGGACGGCACCACGCCTCCCCGGGCGCCAAACCATTGAAGGGGAGCCGAGTTTTGTTTCGGGCCTTCTTGGGTAAAGGGAAGCCACAAGGAAGCCACACATCTGAGGGGCGGGCGCAACCCCAAGCACAGACACTTCACTGTGGATGGACCACTTCTTGCATCAGGTGGGTGGTGTATCATGTGTATCCCAGCACATTCGTAGGGCTGGGTTGGCCCCAGAAGCGGATCGAATAATCATGGACGTGTAGCTCCCCGACGCGGGGGTGAAGCAAGCGAACAACCCATGCCTGCACTGTTGTTGGCATGCTGCGAGGTTTTTAGGGTTTCTGGTTCTGTTCATTTTTAAGTAGGGGGCTGTAAAAACAAGTTTGTTAGCTATACCAAGGGTTGGAAACAGACGTTGCCGTATTTTGCTACTAGGTCCCCCACAGTAGTGCCCTTTTACCCCAGACTACAGAAAAAAGGGTACCCATACTCTAATCCCTTTACTGGAGGACCTAGGCTAACATGTTTCGCTCCGCTCCACAGGATTCTCGCCACCTAAAACTCGGACGTGCCAGGTGGCGCAGTTGGCCAGGGAGCTGTACTTGCCGTGCAAGGACTCATGGAAAACTTGGGCGGGTTGTCACCGGCTATTGGGTTGGACCTTTAGACACCCAGAAGCAAAAAAAAGAAGGCGAAAAAGAGGGGGGATAAAAAGAACGGGTACCAACTTATTCTAATCTCTCAAATCTGGAGGACCCAGTTGGGCAATCAACATCTTTAGACTAACTTTTAGGGAAATCAGGGGGGTTTCCACTACACCCAGAAAAAGTTATGTTGTTTTTTTTGCAGAGGGGTCAACAGCAACCAAGTTCTGGCCAGGGGCATCCCCTTCAGCTCAAGTGACAGCTTTTTTATGGCAGGCGGAACCCCACAGAAAGAGTTTGAAGTTGACTGGGGGAGGGGGTCCTTCAGCCGACACCTCCTCCCAAGGCTTTGGGCCTTTCTTTGGGTTTCTTCCGTCGCGCAAGGACCAACTCAGGAAGCAGCTGGACGAGAACCTCAAGAGAACCGTTCAGGAGCCCATGTCATGGTTGTTGTTGGGAAACATGTTACATGCTTGCTTATTGTGGTTTAGTGGGAAGTCCCCACTGAACTGCTTTTTTTTGTTTTGCTCCCTTCCAACGTCAACCAAGATGTTTTTAGAATGACGGAGAGCGACTTTTAGGTCGATAGAGGTTGGGGTTAAAACATGTGTGCCACGCGGGATGGTTACTGTTGACGCAGGGGATGGTGGTTGGCGAGGCTAGTGCTGCCGGTCAGTGCTACCAGGGATGCTGTCTGGGGATGTCAGAATGATCGCCACTGTGCTCGTTCTGGGCGACTTTAGTCACATGTCATTCCAATCACGGAAATCAACAAAATTGTTATTTTTGTTTGATTCTTCAAAGATCCTTAGAAGAGGCTAGAGTCTGTGAAGTCAAGGAGCCCCCCCTTAATTATTGTACGATGGCATAAGTAATCAGAATTGGTTCGTGGGGCTAAATGAAATGTGAGACCATAATGAGAGGAGTGGACAGGCTGCCAGTACTTGTTTAGGCCCTTATATTAAGCGGGTGTCTCCGCTTGAAAGGGGCGCCATTTTTTTTTGCAAAACAGGGGTCAGCAGGGAGTGGTTCTACTCCCTCACTTGGCAAATGGCACTTCGATCGCTTGTTGACCCGCAAAGGCAGCATTGGGCAAATGATCTTGAAGTGCACTACGCCACTACGCCAACATACGCCAACGTAATGTCGACCTTAGATCTAAGTAGAACCTGGGGGGTAGTCGGGGGGATATTTCCAGTAATGCTAGCAGCGGAAAAGTAAACCCTCCCTCATCCCCCCCACCCCCCCGGAAGGTCAACCCTCAGATTAAATGAGTATTGAGGATGCATCAGCAGAAATTAGACAAAGTTTGAATTGGGCCAGAATTGAAATCAGGGTTCTGCCGAGAATACGCCGAACTAGTCACTGTAGGGGTGGTCCGTGATGCCTGCGTCAGAGTTTAGATTTGTTTGGTATTGGATCCCGATATCGCGCCTCAGGAATCGGCGGTACTTAGTCCTTTGTTAACATTAAACCGGGCATGGGCCCTTACAACGTTTGAGCTCAAACCGTAGAAACTTCATTCCCTGGAAAGCTTCCCAAAGCTCAGTGCTCCGAAGCTAGAGCATTGTCGAATAGGTCTCATTTTTGGTACAAATTTGTTCCACCCTTGCGTCTAATCCGGTAAATAAGTTATCATTGGATACAATTCCCGTCATAGGTGAATCATCCAACATTCCCACACAATCCATATAGGCAATATATATATATATATATACCAACATTGGACCCGTGTGGGGGGTAAATGTGGGTAACTATTACATACCATCCTTTCCACAAACATCGCAACAGAGAGGGGGTCCATTCAACAAGAAATTTGTCTTCCAGGTGCTATGTTAGTTTGGAGGAAGGGTACACGGATTCTTTGGGATTGGATGCCAGATGGTTTTCTCAGCACCAGCCACGCGAAACGTGACGTGACGTGTGTCTCGCTTGCTTAGCTCGCGGGTCGTCAGGACCCCCCGCCGCAGCGGGAGGATTTCCACTGGGCGAGCCCAGGGCACACGGCGTTGGATCACCTGCGCCGGGACCGGTCCATCGGGCTTTGAGCGTCGCTTCGTTACATTTTCGCTCGGTCAAAAGCTAGGGAGTTCAACCCAAAGGAATGCCATCCGAGCTTGTGTCAAGCTGAACCAAAAGGTTAGAGAAGATTGGGGAGTTTGGTTTTCAGTTGTCTTACGGGGCGAAGTTCAATCGGTCGCTCCGAATAGCCCAGAAGCTCCAGTGACCCCTTTTTCCGCTTGGAAGAGTGGCGCGGACCAGAGGTCTTCCATCTGCTGAAGAGTACTTTGTATTTTCCTTTGTTGGCTCTTGAATATTTCCTGACTGCAATCCAAAACAGGCTCCTCGGCACATGGGTAGTCACGCTCTTCACTTTGCTCACACCAAAAATCCGATGTCGTGAAAGCCCTTTCCCAATACCCACAAGGCAGGACTTGTTTTGGGACCTTGTGGGCATTATTTTGGCCAGAACCTAAACAGGTGATGTTTAGTTTCGGGCAAATGCATAATTTTGTATGACCTTTCGGTGTGTCCATGGGATGTCCAATTCGAACTGTCCATACTGCCCCAGATTGTCCCAGGCCCTTTTTCACACACCTTGAACGCCTGGAGTGCGTTTGTTTTGCGCCGCTAGTTCATCCGAGTTCATACTGGCCTCATTATTTTACCATGATCAAAGTCATCGATCTTCTTGACTTTGATAACCCCCAGAAAGAGTCAAAATAATGAGCCCTGCCATATTCCTTGATTTGAAGCTGGCGCGCTCAAAAACCGTCGCAGGAGTGCGCCATCGACTTGGGAGTGCTGCTTCCAGGTGTGCGGCCAAGAGAGGAGATGACCAAGCACCCCGGCGAGTCTGGACGGGTTTGAGGCCACCCGTCTCGCTTGCCCAAAACGGCCAACTCCATACCCCCTGTTTGGTGGTTCGCGAAACCAAGAAGCAAAGCCACCATTTTGAGGGGGTCCAAATGGTAAAACACACGCGCACACACACATTTTGGGTGGGCAACTTAGCACTTCCATGGATCCCCGAAGCCGGTGAGCCTGAAAGGCTTTCAGTCTTCATTTGTCATGTAGCAGTGCGCCTAAGGCCCTCTTTGGGGATGCGCTGGCCCTACTGTGGATGGACGAAATCCACTTCGCACCACCGAAGAAACCCTGGAATGTTGATTCTCCTGTAAATACCAATAAAGAATGGCGTCTTCTGGTTGCTTAGGTAGGGCAGGATTTCGTCCATCCGCGGTACTACAGCACCATCAAGGGCCATTACCTTCTCTTGTAGCTTTGAAACAATATTGGAATGTGGGCGCGCTGTCTTTTTGTTGAGGGTCCAAATTTAGACACGCCCACGTACTTCTTCCTTGCACCACCTCAGTTGCCCAGATGCGCATCAAGCTGTTGCTTTCCTTTGTCTTGCCATCTGACAAACCAACTGTCCAACCCTTTGGCATCGTCAAACGCCGCACTTTGAAGCTACAGGTTTTTGGGCCGTGTGCTGCCTGAACAGGGCTGCCAAAAGCCCTCTTCCTCAGGGTTTCTGAGCCATCCCCTTGTAACCTCTAACAGTGGATCGATCATTTCAATGGAAACCAGTCCTCAACTGTTGAACTCCCAACTGTTGTGTTTTTTTCCGTCCAATCCCAACGTTTTTTCTCAGCTTCCCTCGTTTGCTGGTTACCAAATTGGTGCTTTGGTTGGCCCCCGTGACCCTCGCGATCGGGTCCTCGGTTCTTCGGAGCACCCCCTCTTTGGCCCATAGCCGGTCCCAGAAATCCTTGAAGCTGGGTGATTTCCCGGTGAAGTCTTAAACGTTTTGGTGGTCAGTAGGGAATGCCCCAAGGTTTTGGGAGCACACCCAAGGTTCCCCTTTAAATTCAAGTGATGAATATACTTACTGGTATATATTTACCAGGCTCCCGCCTGCTGCCGCCGACCCTCGGCGCATTAAGGGAAAAGTCACAAGGACCGGTCCTGAAACACGTCCGCAAACCCAGGGACCACTTATAAGTTCCTCTACGACCACAAACAAGGATTAACGGAAAAGTCAGAAATAGGGCAGCTAGTCCGTTAATTACCGCTTGGGCCGGCTTGCGCCCAAGTCACTTCGAGTTGGCGCCTCTCCCGGGGTCGCCCTGAAACTGGCCCTCCCGAAGTTGCCCTGGACCGGTCGCCGGCAGGGACCGGGACTTGGGACCCTATCCAGGCTGGTCCCAGTCTGGCGCGGTTTGACTCGACGTATTGGACTCTCTTGCAGAATAGGTCCAGGGATCCTCTACTACCACAAGGATTAACGGAAAAGTCAGACAGATGACAGCTCGTCCGTCAATAACCGCACAGGCCGGTTTGTGCCGAAGTCACGTTGAGCTGGTCCTAGAAACAAGGCTGTTGGTCCCCCTCAACTGGTCGCAATCAGTGACCGCACCACAGCAATTTGAAGTACCAGCGGTCACACCAGGACTCGATCCAGACTGGTCCCAGGACCGGTGCTGGGACCGGTCCCAGGACCAGTCCCAGCACCGGTCCTAGTCCCACGAGTCCTGGGACTGGTCCTGGTGGGACCAGTCCCAGGACCGGTCCCAGGACTGGCCAGGACCGGTCCTAAGACCAGTTCCAGGACCAAACCCAGGACCGGTCCCAGGGGTCCCAGGACCGGTCCTGTGGGACCGGTCCGGGACCGGTCCCAGGACCGGTTTTGGCTGACTGCAAGTAATCTGAAACAGCAGAACCAGGGTCCCAGGACCAGTCCCAGGACCGGTCCCAGGACTGGTCCCAGGAGGCACTTCCAGTTGCATCCCACGCCGGTCCCCTCTGCAGGAGGCTGGGACGGGAGGCAGAGGGTCGGCGGATTTGCATGTGTATAATGTATACATATATATATATATAAATATGTATCATGTCATATCCGGAGCCAACCCGTTAGAAGGGCAATGGTATTCAGACAGCTCATGTTTATAGTGTTTAAAAGTTTTACCACCCTTGTCTCGAGTAACCCTTACTTGGTGGTTTTGGGATGTGGGTGGTTTGGATTGGTGGTTTAAATTGAGAAGCCATGGCTTGTGTAAAAGTCAATGGGGAACCCCCGCACCTTGACCACCAAACCACCAATCAGAGGGTTCTGTCAAATGTGAAACCTCCCGTCATTGATAGGTGGTTTCCTCCAATGAGCCTGTTGAGCGAATGGGAGGGGGGTTAGGGGGGCTGGGGTTCCAACCTGTCCAAAACCAAACTTTTAAACGCGAGAGCTGTTTTCTTTTTTCTTCGTTCTGTGGTGGCTGGAAAGTCAGGTTACTCAAGTGGTGGCTTGAATTGGCGATTTGGATTTGGATTTGAAGCCCCAGATCTACAACTTCTTAGCCACCAAACCACAAATCCAAACCAGCAAACAACGAGGGAAGCTGAGGAAAGTCCCTGTGTTTGGCAGGGGCCACTGTTAGAGGTTAAAAGGGAAATGGCAAGAGGAAACCATGGTGTTCCTGCTGGCCTCCCAATTTTTAGATCAAAAGAACACACACACAAAAAACATATAAACTAATAATAATAATAGTAATAATAACAATAATAGTACTAACAATAATAATCATAAAGCACCAACTTCAAAGAACAAGGGGGTCAGCTGACACCCGTCTCGACTTCAGGAAGGACGCCTGGCGCGTGGCAAGGCGGAACTCCCACCTGAAGAACCGCCGGGGCCTCAGTGACTCAGGGCCTTGAGGCCTTGGCATCCCGTGCGGCGTCCTTTTTTGGGAGTTGACTCGGGGCAAGTGCTTGGGGCTAGGTGGTTCTGTTCAGTTTCAGGGATTCTATGTGAGCGGCGAAAAAAACCTCCGTAGATCAATTTAGATGAGTCTGGAAATTACTCTTGCAGTCGTAAGCGTTTTTGCGAGATTCGTAAGCGATCGGAAGGTCCTGCGTAAGCTGCATGCATGAGTCACTCGTCGTAAGCTTTGCGTAAGCTCTGTTTGTCAGACCCGTTTTTAGTTGTTTGGTAGAAGTTGCTTTTGGTCCGCGTAATGCTTTTAGGCGTGAAAATGGGATCAGCTTGCTGGAATGGGTTCTTTCGAGCAACAAGGAAAGGGATTCTTTCAGTGAACAACTTTTTCAGGCTCAGACAACTGTTGTTTGACCGTTGGGTTGCTTTTGCAATGTTCCACGCACAGCGCGTTGGCCAGCTTGAACAAAAAAGCTCGCGTTTGGAAAACAACTTTCCGAGCCCCGAAAGTTTTGTTTTGGCACCTCACCTTTTTCGTGAGCGGGCATGGAAAACAACATGTTGAGCCCCGGGCTTGTTTTGCTGCGGCTTTGCCTTTTCACCTTTGGGCCTCGGGCTTGGAAAGCACAAAAAAGCTTTTCGAGGCCAGGAAAGTTTTTTTGGTTGCGAGGTACCTTTTGCCACCTGCAGGCACTTTTCAGGGCCCCGAAGCTCGCGGACTGGGAAAAAACTGTTCGAGCCGAAAGTTGTTTTTGGGGCCTTTCCATGCGAGTTGTTGCGCCTCTTGCTCAGAGGGCCCGCGTGCTTTCTGCAGAAAAGAACTTTTCGGGCCCCGAAAGTTTTTTTCCGTTTGGCCCTGTGCAGCATTCCATCTGCAAGCTGTTGTTCTGCTGTGCTAGCACCTCTTGCTCGCCGTGCGCTGTCTGCCTTGAGCTGTTGCCCCTCTCTGGCCGTGAAAGCTTCAACACCGGCTTCGGGCAGCAACATCCGCGTAGTGGTATCACACCCGCTTCGCATGCGGCAGGCCCGGGTTCAATCCCTAGGGTGCCCACGTCAATGCTGGGCTTGCGCAGCAAAGCCTTTGCACCTTTCCGTGCAAGCTGTTGCTCTGTCATGCTGGCGCCTCTTGCTCGCGGGGGATCCGCGCAGAAAACAACTTTTCGGGTCTCAAAAGTTTTATTTCAGCTTTTGCCCCTCCATGTCTGTGCAGCAAAGCCTTTGCAACTTTCCATGCAAGCTGTTGCTCTGTCATGCTGGCGCCTTGCTCGTGGTGGATCCTCACAGAAAACAACTTTTCGGGCCCCGAAAGTTTTACCCTCCATGTCATTGCTGAGCCTGTGCAGCAAAGCCTTTGCGCCTTTCCAGGCAAGTTGTTGCTTTGTCCTGCTGGCGCCTCTTGCTCGCAGAGGTTCCGCGCGCTTTCTGCAGCAAATAACTTTTCGTGCCCCGAAAGTTGTTTCAGCTTTTGGAGGGCCATTGTCTTGCTGGGCCTGTGCAGCAGCCTTTCCATCTGCAAGCTGTTGCTTTGTCATGCTAGCGCCTCTTGCACGGGGGATCAGGCACGAGCAACTTGTCGTAAGCTATGCGTAAGCTCCATCTGCGAAAAATAGCAAACGTAAGCGACCTTTCGGTTGGCGGAAGCTTTCCGCAAGCGATTGCGCAAGCTGGAGTAATTTCCTTTACGGGTAACAGGGTTTTTTTCACTGCTCATGTGGTTCAAGTTAGGTTTGGAGGTTTCTAGGAGTTTTTGGGGTTCTGTTCAGTTTTAGTAGGGGGCTGCAAAAGGCAAAGAAAAGGTTGGTGCCCCCCGCCCCCCGTTTGTGGTTTTCGCAGGTAGCCCCTTAGTTGGTAGTTTGGATTTAGATTTGAACTCGGGGGTTGTAGGGGGTACATGGAAAGCCCCTGCTGACCTTTGTGTGGTTTTGAAAGGGAAACCTGAAAACACACACTAGGTCCTCCAGTAGAGAGGTTAGAATTAAGGGTACCCTTTTTCTGTAGTCTATTTTAGTAGGGGAACCCTCCCAAAAAAATGTTGGTAAAAGGGCACTACTGGGAAACCTAGCACACACACCCCTCCCAGCTCTTCTTTTCCCCTGCTTGATATAGTTCCACGTCAATCTGCTCCGGGACTGGACCCTTCGAAGCCCTAAGAAACATGCAAGCCCAAAACAGCTGTCCATTCTTATAGCAGTCTCCTTGGTCCTTCTGGAGTAAGCCATTCGACTGTTTAAATCGGTTTGTCTTAAAATAGGTGCGGTTTGCCCTTTGTTTCCCGTTGAGCGGGGGGCTTTCAGGGAGAAAGGCCAGGCTGAGTTCAGCTTCCCCAGTTCCAAGGATGGAGCATCCTCCAGCCATGGTAGGTATACAGTTTTGTTTATTTGGCTAAGGTTACATTTCTGTATTTGGCTAAGGTTACTAGGAAATCTTCTATTCATGATTGTTAAGAAACATTCTGCATTTTTGTTTTTTGTGGTTTTGTGGTTGAAATCCAACCACTGAACTGCTAAGATTTTAGTGTTTGCTCCCCTTCCAACGTCAACCAAGCAGCCAAGGGGTTCTTGTTCCCCGCCACGCCGGATTTGGGGCAAGCGGGAGGGTGAGGTGTTTGAGCTACGGCTCCTTGATTGGCACAGGAAGTTGGGGGAAGATGAAGCATGCCCAGCCCTTTCTTCCTTTCCGTTTCAACCAACCATTGTCACTTGCAGGTCAGATCCCCTCATGGCGCAGGTCAGAACTTTCGGCTCAAGTATAGGCCCTTTCCGAAATCGACGGACCATGGCGAAGAGCCTTGGGTTGCAAAAAGTTGCGCGGGTGCAAATCAGCCGTGCGCTTGTTTTGTTTTAGACCTCGAAAATGGATTTCAGTGTTCGTCTTGGTTCCCTTGAAAGCCACGAAAAGGGGTACGCCAAAAACACAAGCACAAGCACAAGCACAAGCAGCGCAAGCCCAAGCACAAAGGCAAAACAGAGGCTAGCACTTGCCGACAGGGGATGGGCATTTGTTGATTTTCTCCCTCCCCCCCCCCCCGTTTGCCATCCAGCATGAGCAGGAAATTCCACCAATTCAGCCAGTCAGACCCACCAGGTTGAGTGCCTTTGGGGGTCGTCCCAAGGCGATGGATGTGAGTGGCGTGTCTTTTTTCGAGGATACCCCTGTTTTGTGGTTTCAAGGAAAATCCCAAAGGCACACCATATCTGTTGGGTCCCCTAAACAAATGGGGCTGTGCCAGGTTTCATAAAACCAGCTCTTGTTTTGTGTTTGTGCCTGGCTTTGGTGCCTGGCAGTGTACGTGGCCTAACCAGATTGAAGAAACCATTTGTAGCCGACGGCCTATAGAGAGATCCTCTTTCGGAGGGCCCGTTATGCTCTTTCTCACGTTCCCTCAGCTTTTAGGCGCTGTGAGAACAGGCGCTCCGGTTCTGGTCGAATGGCTTTTGAAAGACACATGCTGCTTCCTCCTTCCGCCCCCCCATTTTGGGGGGTCCGAGTTCCTATTTTGGCAAATGCCCATATACGTCCCATTTGTCAAGATTGTCAAGATGCGGACAAATTTTCAACTTTGCACTTGGAACCTGGTGATGCCGCGATCAATTTTCGATCAACGCATGTGGCCTATGCGGAAGCCTTTGAGGGGAGAGGGACAGGGTGGGAGTCCACAGCAGGAAGCTGAGAAGATAATGAAAGACATGTTGGTTTGTAGGCTTCTTTGGCTTCTTCAATTCTATGTGGGTGTGTCTTTTTTAGGGCCCCCCCCCCCCCGGCCAAAAAAATACACAAAACAAAACACGGAAGCTCAAAAAGAAGGAAAATTGTGTTTTTTCTTTTGGTTTCCGTTTAAACCCACAAGCAAATGTGTACCCTTAGGAAAAAAGACCGACCCTTGTGGGAGGGACGGTAATCCTCAGGCAGCTTGAGCACACGGCTCTTATGGGGCCCTGGCAGGTGATTGTGTATCCGCATTTCACTATATATGTATTCTCAGTTGTTCAGTGGCACTCTTTTTCTTTTTTTTGGTGGCTGCCCCACTAAAAATGGTCTTGCCCAAAAAGGGTTCCCTTTTTTTTCAGGGTCACTGAACAACTGAGTATTTGTTCGCCTGCATATGTCATAGTCAGTTTGGAGAGAACCAAAAGGGGCACATCCCTTTTGAGAGCCCAGTAGGCTATTTCCTGTTGAAGATTGCACCGGTGTCAATGAATTGTTTTTGTTTGGGTTACAAGGTAACTGTGCTACTCAGATGTTTGGGGATGGCTCATATGGGTGTGTCTTTTTTAGGACTTGGACATGTCCGTTCAAAACCACCAACAATTGGGGTACCCTCCAACAAACAGACCCGTACGTATGAATACTTAGGCACATTACAATACACATATTATGTACATGTACGCATATATATATATTGCAACAGGCCCTTCTATGATCTACATTTTACTGCTTGGAAGCTTTCCTTCGTTTCAAACATTTCAGATATTTCAGATATTTCAGATATTTCAGATATTTCAGATATTCAGATATTTCAGATATTTCAGATATTTCAGATATTTCAGATATTTCAGATATTTCAGACATTTCAGATATTTCAGACATCTCAGATATTTCAGATATTTCAGATATTTCAGACATCTCAGATATTTCAGATATTTCAGATATTTCAGATATTTCAGATATTTCAGACATTTCAGATATTTCAGATATTTCAGATATTTCGGATATTTCAGATATTTCAGACATTTCAGATATTTCAGATATTTCAGATATTTCAGATATTTCAGATATTTCAGATATTTCAGATATTTCAGACAAAACAGATATTTCAGATGTTTCAGATATTTCACATGTTTCAGATATTTTTTCAGATATTTCAGACATTTCAGATATTTCAGATATTTCAGATATTTCAGAGATTTGAGAGATTTTTCTGATATTTCAATTATGTTGAACATTTCAATGAAATGTTTGAAATATCCAAAATA